AGGAAGGAAGGAAGGAAGGAAGGAAGGAAGGAAGGAAGGAAGGAAGGAAGGAAGGAAGGAAGGAAGGAAGGAGGAAGGAAGGAAGGAAGGAAGGAAGGAAGGTTCCCCTAAAGGATAACCATAAAGTCAGGCATACTTTTTGTTACATTGCATATACTTGGTTTTTAATCAATTTAATATTCAGATACTCCTTCCCCCCAGTTTTCACTAGAATTATCACCAATGAAAAAAAAGAATCAACTTGATAATTTCCCACCCCAAAGATAAATTATCCCTTCTTTCTTTGTCCCTAGCATGCTTCCATCATATTGAATTCCTTCTGCATAGCTCAGAACTAAACCTAGAAGTAGAGCAAGTAGAATTGCATTGGGATGCAAATCTCCAATGACCTCTCTATAAAATGAATCATTTTTTAAAAAGTGAATTTACAAAGAGATTTATATAAAGCCACAGTGTTCTCTCCCAGCACTGCAGTGATGTGAGAAGTAACAGCTGCTTATTGTACAGGTGCAAAAAGCACAGCTATTCTCCAAGCCAGTTGTCCATTTTTATTTTTTTATTTTTTTGTGAGCTGGAGAAAACAAGGACGAGACAAAGCTGTAAACAAAACTGCTCTGCTCTCACCTTTTGTTCTCCCAGGCAGGCATACAAAATACCTATTTGACCTTCTTACATCACTTGCATGAATTTGAGCCTCAGTCTATCATTTGTTGCAGGAGTGCTGGGATAACAGAATTGGATACAAAGCACCATGATTTCCTGGGAGTATATGCTATGGCACATCTACGATTCATTATTAATGTTTGTCCTTTTTTATTCCCCCTTTTTATCTGTAGTGCTACAACTGCTGGTTTCAGCTCTCTGGTGCAGTCCAAGGTATTTTTAGAGCATGAATTTGTGCTTCAGTAACTCTCTACATCAGGGGTGTCAAACTCATGCCCTCATGATAGCATCACATGACATATCGGGACTTTTCTTCCCCTTAGCTAAACCGGCCATGGGTGTGGCCAGCACATGATGCACCAGCCCACGAGTGGATAGTTTGACATCCCTGCTCTACATCATTCATAAGGACTATCCCAGGGTAGTAAAATAATGGTGGAACAATCAACTCCCCCTTTGCTGTGCAAAACTAAGGCACATTGTGGGATTTGTGAGTACAGATGAAAACACAATCTCATAGAATGGAACCATGTCAGATACGGATGTCATAAAATAATCCAGGAATCCCATGTATGTTTTCTAAGATCTCTAATTTGTCTTTATTCTGGAGAAGTGGGAATATTTTTCCCCCTTTGAAAAACCACTGAATAACAGCCATTCTCCATTTTTATTTCCTATTCGTCTTACAAAATGAGGATGCTCTGAGCTTTCTTGTAACTCAAAATGATTCTCGACATTGCTTCCTTGGTTAATAACAAGCCCCTATTTCATTAAAGTAACCTAGATAATAATATTGGTCTGACCCCAGTTTGAGAATTGTGTTCAGTTCTGGGTGCTAAATTTTAAAAAGGATCCAGACAAGCTGGAAGAGGTTCACTAAAGAGTGGGGAGGAGGATTGGAGGACTAGAGACTAAGTTGCATGGCAACTGACTGGAAGGTACAGGAATGTTTCACCTTGAAAAGAGACAATCAAAAGGGAGTACAGTTTATTCACCTGAATAAACATTGACGTCTTTTCTTTATGATCTATGAATACAGGACAGGAATTTAAAATTTCAGGTATATGCTAGAAAAATATTCTCACAATAATAGCAATTTGATCATTGAACTCATTATCCAAAGAAATACAAAATTGTATTCAGACAGAGACTTCATCGTAATCTGTTGAGGATGACAATGTAAGATAAGAGTTTAATGACCATGGCCTATAGACCACAGGTCTTCATATCCAGATGTCCTGACAGAAACCCAGATGTAAACCCAGTCAATCACTGCTCAGTGGTCTTCATAGCAGGCCACTTTGCCTCTGAAGATGCCAGTACAGTTGCCACATCAGGAAACGCATTCTGGCCACAACAGTGACTAAACCCTGAAGCCCAATACTATCCAACAGTTACTGGCCATGAAAGCCTACACTAGTATAATCTGTTGAAGAGTTTTTGATTTGCAGTCCTGTACTCAACAAGGGTTAGATTCAGAAACCTAAAGGGCCCTTTCCATATTCTATGCTAATGTAAGCTTAAATTGCATTAATCAACTTAGTATCCATATCTACAATGATGATCTGGTTTCATTTTAGAGTTCTATCCAGTGCTAGGATTATCTATTTAGGACACTGGCTTTCATATTCTCTAAGCTTATTCAGGCTCTATCTCCACTAATCTTCCGCTTCCATGAAAATGGCTTGATAAGATTGGATTTGTAATTCAAAATGTTTCAGTTCTTAGAATCCTTTTTCCATGTCTCAGCCATATTATTGTTTGGGATGAAGCTGAATCCTCCTCCCAATCCTTGAGGTTTTATACATGGGTGTTTAGAGATTCTCAGACATCCAGGTCATGGTTGTTCCAAAGGTGCTTTTTCAGGAGGCAACTGGATTTTCTTGTTAAACATTAATCTGACTGAGTCTTTCAATAGGATATCCACAATGTAATAATTCATGTTGCTAGATGGACTGTTCTTTCCATGGACACTGATTGTTCTTTGGCTATTGGGTTGATGGGATAGAATTCTGTAGTTGCAGATGTATTTAAAATCATCTAAAATCCTGTGATTCTCTGGAGAAGCAGATGAAAGTGAATCTTTGTTAAAGCTTTTTATTAGCAAATGCTAATAAAGAGGACGTAGTTGGAGGACATTCCATCTAGCTATTTTTGAGTGGGTGGTTAGTACATGAGGCTGGTCAAAAAGAAACTGAATGTGTATCAGCTCCATGTTGTCTGGGAGAGGTCTACATAGTTGCTAATAGCTGAAGCAAGAGATTGCAACGCCATGAAGTAGGTAGTTCATCAACTCTGAAGAGATTTATAGGCAAAAGTTTCAGGACCATGTCACCAATACAAAACACAAACCTATTACAACTAATAGTCTTCAAGATGTTCACACATTTCTGGATACAGGAGCATTCCAGAAACTGGAAAGGAAGTTTTAAGACTAGCTGAGAGTTATGCAGCAGCCCCAAAGGCAGAGAAGGCTTCCCATTGATGAAATTCTATTTGTTAGTGATACATTTAACTCTGCCATAGTTCTACTTTGGACTGGGTTTGGGGTTTATACTCCCCTTAAAGGAGCATGTTCTCACTTTGGGGATCCTCCTTAGACTCATCATTTTTGCTAGAACAACAAATAGAAACTGTGATTTACTTTGGCTGTATAACAATTACAAGCCTGTCAGAATTATAAAGTCCTCATAATAATGATTCGTGTCCTCAGTACCTCGCATCTAGACAACTGCAGCTCATTCTACGTGGAGCTATTTTTGAAGGTCACCTGGAAGCTTCAGTTGTTTAAATTAGTCACCTGCTACTCAGTGACAGTAGATTTAAACATCAGTATATGATCCCTGCACTGGCTGCCAATTTCAGTTCCCATAGCTTGTTGCCAAACAATTTAACATGTGGAAATATTCCTAGAACAACTTATTTTGGGGTGGGGGCAGTGATTGAAGAAGATAAAAAGTGATGTTTTCTAATAAAATATTTCTGGTCCCTCAGAACATGAATGGGGTACACATGATAGCCAACACGATTGGAACAATGAATTCCAGAACAAATGGGCAACATCTACCCCAGGTGAGGACATTATTTTGTTGGAGACAAACATTAAGTCATTTACTCTTCACCCAATAAGATTTAGTTTCAGAAATTAGCTAGTCACATCATTAGCTAGTCATATTATTGGTATACTATGACTCCTAAGTTTTAGCTAGCTAAAAATGGAATTAAATTTGGCCTGCTTCAGAAAAAGTATCAGATTCAACCATGCTACAATTCATGGTTAACCACAATAATTTCCTATGTATGCTAAGACAATCATCTCCAGATGTTAATTCTTATAGCAAACTAGATTTCTTTTTTTAGTGCAGTTGGCTATTCTGCTGTCTATTGACTAGGCAGTGTAGCTCTAGGTCAACTGTCTTATAAACATATTTTAAAGTTTCTAATCAGACCATATTCAATGAGCTGTAACCAGTTTGCAAGACCAGAACAAGATGTAGTTTCAGCGTTCAACTTTGTATTTAAAGATTTTCTTCATAAACAAGGGGAAAAAAACAATCCTTTCCTTTCATAAAACAACAGCAATCATATATATCTATTCATCTCTTCTGTTTCTCTATCAGATATGTTGCTTGTCTCTCTGTTAAACATGTAATAACACAAAACTAAGAAAGAAACAGCATTCACTGAGTTTTTAAAAGTCAACTTGAACAACAAAACAGCATAAACATTAAAAGTTCAAGCAGGACACACTGAAGTAGTAAATAAAAGTGAAGACAACTGACAGTTTATATAGGATATTCAATTTCCTGCTCATAGGTAGAATCCATGTCTGTATGCTTGAGGCCTTCCAGAGGTTGATAAACTAAACTCCCAGAATCTCTCTTAATCGATCATGCTCTGGTAGACCTTGGGGGATTTATAGTTTATTAATATTTAGTGGGCTATAAATTCCACATTTCTCTTTGAAGAAATGTTCAAGTGGGTTCCAATAAGAGAATCATTGGGTAGTTGCTAAGTTTTCTGGAGGTCTTGGAAACCAGACTGGAAGCTTTGGAAACCAGACTGGAGGGTCCAGGCTTGTGGTGGTGAGTTGTCTCCACAGAGAGTTGGCTAGGACTAGGTGTCCCAGGCAAGGTGACAACAGGGAGATGCCGGCAGAGAATTATCCCATTCTGAAGTCAAGACCTATCTAATCCAGTATTCTGTGACATGGTAGCCAATCTGATGTATATTATTTGTCCAGTACTACATTTATGATTCAGCTTTCCTCTGAGATTCTGACCAGTTCTGGAGAACCGGTAGCAGAAATTTTGAGTAGTTTGGAGAACAGGCAAATACAACCTCTGACTGGCCCCACCCCCATCTATTCTCTGCCTCCTGAGTCCCAGCTGATTGGCTGGGTCTTCTTTTGTTGCCCTGCACTGGAAAGCAGGTTAGTGGGGTGGGAGGGAAATGGATATCACAATAACCTTCCCCCAGGAGCGGGGAGGGAATGGGGATTTTACAGTATCCTTCTCACAGAGGTGGGTGGGAATGGAGATTTTACAGTATCCTTCCCCTGCCACACCCACCAAGCCATGCCTCACCCACCAAGCCACACCCACAGAGCCAGTAGTAAAAGAAATTGAATCCCACCATTGTATGAGTACCTGAAGTTTTCTTTCAATTTAATCTCACAATAACCAATCTGTGAGGTAGGTCATGGGCATGGTATTTATTCACAATGTCAGCCTGGATTGCACAATTGAGGAACAACTTGAACTAGACCATCCCTTTTTCTAAATACAAAAAGATTGTACATCAGTCTTATATCATTTTTTCCTGACAATTAGTAAATAAATCTTGTAAATTTGTTTTACAATCTGTTTTTATTGATGAATATTATTGCAGTTGTGTGATTTTTATGATAATTTGTCCCAACTTGGCCTTCAGCAAATTTTCTGGGGCTTCAGCGATCAGAATTCTGAGGCAGCAAGAGCAACATTTCCAGCTGACTAGGAATTCTGAGAATTGCAATCTCAACATTTCTTCATGACCCTGGGTTGGAGAATGTTGGTCTAGAAGAATGAAGATTTGTTTCTCCATTTTTAAAGCAAACAAATTGACACAAATGATGTTTTTCCCCCCAGGCTCAAATCCTTGTTCTTCCATCCCAACCTCAAAATTTGGACCAACATAGCAAACAGCAATATCCATCCAAGCATGATCATATGATCTGCAAATGCCTCTCACTGAGCATTTCCTATGCAGCAACTATTGGTGGACTCACAACCATCATTGGTACTTCCACCAACCTCATCTTCCTAGAATATTTCAACAAGTAAGTATTAATAAACTCTGACTGAAACTGATGTGAAAAGATATGTGTTTATCCTGATCCCAGGCATAATTTTTTCTTATCCATTAGTTTCACAAGATATTTACTATAAATTAAGGAAACAGGGAGGCATGATGTTTTTCCCACAGTGGCTAAAGTGATTTCATTCACATAATGATCTGGAAATTATATCTAAAAGGAGAATTTGAGGAAACAGGTGTGTTTAGTCTCAAGAAGAGAAAATTGAACAGGGATATATTCACACTTAAAAGAATCTTCATTTAACAACCCCATAATCCCTTGTAGGGTGGAGCCTGGGCAACTGAATGGAGCTAGCAGACTGTTTTAATGGCCAGATGCCCTTCCTATTGCCAATGCAGAGTTTTGTTCAGCAGATATCTTCTCAGTGTGCCCAGAGGAAGAAATATCTGCCTCTACCTAGGATCGAACTTACAGACTCCTGATTGTGAGGCGAGAGCTCCACCTCTAGGCACCACTCCATTCACACTAGAAAGAATGCAGCATAGAAAAGGGCTGAGATTTCTTTTTCTCAGTGTGTATTATCTTAAAGTACAGGAGACAAAACAATAGCTGTAAGTTACAAAATGGCATATTCCATCTGAATGATAGGGAAAACATCCGAAAGATAATAGTCTGGCAGTGGAACCAATGATGAGCGAATTGACAAGCTCTGGATGTTCAGAGAGAGATTAGGCAGTTGTTGATTGCCAATGCTTTAATCTGGAAACTTGCATTGAGGGAAAAATTGGATTCAATACAATTGCTTCCAATTCTTTTCTGCAAATGGTGAGAAAGTACAAAATGAAGCTCATCTACATAGAAAAGTTTGCATCTAAGGCTATGAGTTTAATGGAAGATAAGACAGTACTTGAGGAGCCAAGAAACCTGTGAAATAAATATTTGGGTTCTATTATTATTCTGTTTTATACTCTTCCCTACTTTGATACCATTCTAAGTAGTATTGTCATGAGTGTAGCATTCCAAATCTAGATGTATGCATTACTGTTCACATCAGAGCTGTGAGCAATCATATTCTCAAAAAGGCCTGAACCTGTATAAGCCTTTAATTAGACAACTCACAGTGGTATAGAATGGATATATCTGACAAATGGGTTCTTGGTGTTCTTTGAGCTTGGTTCTTTTCCTCAGTGAATGAGAGATAAATTTTCTGGTTGTCCTGCAGTCTTGGTTGCAATATAGCAATAGCATTTAGACTTATATACAGCTTCACAACGCTTTATAGTCCTCACTAAGTCAGCAGTCGCCAACCAGTGGGTCGCGGCCCACTGGTAGGCCATGAGAAAATTTTGGTGGACCGCAGAGAAATCTCACGCCCAGAGCACCCCCCCCAAAGCAATTAATTAAATTGTGAATACATTTCTTTTAACTTCTTTACAGCCATTACCCAAATTCGGATGTAGTGAATTTTGGAACCTGGTTCTTATTCAGTTTACCTATCTCGCTCATTATGCTGGTGTTAACCTGGTTCTGGATGCATTGGCTTTTCCTTGGTTGCAAGTAAGTGAAACTGTGATGGAATGTAGTAGGCTGAATTCCCAGGCAGGAGGGAGAGGGGGCATTCCAGAGGAATAAAAGACAACTCAATCCAGATATTATGTGTGGGAGAAAGAGACTGAAGACAGCCCCTCTCTAACAGTTCACAGAGTATATGGCAGATGCAGATAATAGAGTCCTTTGTCTGGCAATTTTCTGTCTGTAGGTATGGAAACAATAAAGAATTTGGCTTGGAAGAATCACCACATGTTATTCTTGGTTTTTGGGTCCAACAGAAACCTACCTTATCTATCAACATTCCCAATCTATAGTCAGAGCGCTACATCATGCTGGTATTACACCAAAAATGTCCCAGTATGGAACATTAAAGCTATGAAATGGAGGCCAAGGACTAGCATCAGCAAGTAACGGATAATACATTCACAGTTACAGTTACAAGAATTGGGCCGCAAATATCCAGATAATCAGTAGACCAGGGCACAGAATATAGAAATAATTTAATGGCTGGAATTTTTGTAGCCCAGCTCTGTTAACCTGAATGATTCTTGTATTCTTCTGTTTCTAATAGCAGGTTTTGTTCTCAACTGTTTTAGATTTTGTATCATTTGTTTTAGTTAATCTTTTTAAAAAGAGCCTGTTTTGCAACCCTGAGGATTATTATACAGAAAGAAATTGTACTCAAATAGCTGGAAGCTGGCAAGGACCTCAAGCTGCCATTGGCCTTATCTGGAAGGGCTCCAATCAGTCTCTTGAGACATTTTGTTTCCTAATAAAAATAAGATGTAATAAATCAGAAATAATATATACTCTTGCAACAGGTCTGAACATGGTTTTTGCACAATGAACAGTTAGTTACATTCTGTTGGCACTGCCAACTTCAAGTGTTTTTTAGTGCAAAATGTACATTTTGTGGCTTATTATTTTGTAATTCTGTTTACTGCAATATATTCAAGAATATATTATGTTAAAAAACTTGACATAGCAATAATCCAAAAGTTGGAGTTTTAAAGAAACCCAAAGCTATGTTGTCTGTTCCAAGTGCTGGGGAAAATATGGCAGTGGGAAGCAGAAGCTGAAAGAGACGGGATAACCCCCCGCCCCAAAAACAGAAATCAAGCAAAAACCCAATTCTTATTAATGGAGAGCATCCCAAGTCAGTAGAATTTCGTTTCCCATGCTTCAGAAGTTTTCTGAAATTGGATCACAAGAGCTGTAACTGCCATTGCCCATATTTTTTGCTATAATGTAAAATGAAAATTTTACATTACACAAAAAGAATTGGAAAACAAAATAAAATTTTGAAACCACTTCAGTTAAATCAGAATGCTTAATTTTGCATCCAAAAAGCTTGATCGGATGCAAGTTCAAACTGAGATGTAAATCATAGTTGTTTAATTTTGATCTTCACACTTTGGTTAAATTGAAATAAACTTAAGATATGTATATATTGTTTACTTGCACTGATGGTAAATAATGTGGGTCAGATACTGGCTTATATACTCCTGTGATCTGATTCAGAAAAACTCTTATGTGGTTGTTGTGCTTAAAAACACCAATTCCAAAATGATTATGGTATGAATCCATTTCATTTCAGGGAAAAATCCACAAAGGACTTTAAATACTTTATGAACTAAATCTGCACAGAAGGACCTCCTTCAGTTCCTTTTTATGAGTATTGAGGAACAAACCCAGTTGGTAAACTGAATACTTTTTTCTGGCATGAATTCAGCTCTCCCCAGAGTGTGGTTGTCGAAGCCAATATGGATTTGCTGCAAATCTTGCTGCAGTTTCATACTCTAACTTCCTTCTGTTTTCCCATATCCTATTTATTTTCAGTTTCAAGGAAACCTGCTCAATAAGCAAGAAGAAGAAAACCAAGAGGGAAGAAATGTCTGAGAAGAGAATCCAAGAAGAATACGAGAAGCTGGGAAATATTAGGTAGGAAAAAGGGTACCCTTTTTGCTTATTGTATTACACTGAACCAATCTCTCATTTTCCAGATTTATTAGAACTTCTATGGTTTCCACACACAATAGCTGGATGAAAGTTCCAGTTATTGCTGTTTCAGTACATTTGGAAGTGCCAGATTGAGAAAGACCACTCAATTATGTATCAATGGACCAAGATCCAAGAAACAGCATGGATGAAATCAACGTGGAGGAACAGCCTTCTACATTCTGAATAGAACTAATCAACAAAGTATTGGGTTGTGGGATTCTATTTTAAAAGCTTCTTTTAAAGTTTAAATAAATATTTCCTTTCTAGCTATCCTGAGATGATGACTGCATTCTTTTTCATTTTGATGACTTTGCTCTGGTTTACAAGAGAGCCTGGGTTTATTCCAGGCTGGTCTTCCTTCTTTGAACAGTAAGTATCTACAGTACTTAGAAGCACAATGTTAAGCTTCCTGACTAGAACTGAACTGTAAATCAGAGAACTCATTATATTATGGCTTTGTTTGGCCCTTAGCTGGACTTAACAGAAGATTCTTAGCTAGATTAGACCACTATCTGACTGTCCCTATCATTGTGGAGTTTTTGTTTTCAAAATTTAATCAGTTTAAATCAATTTTTCATCTTCTGTGTATGTCCTTCTGTGTGTTCAGATCTTCAAAGTTTTCTTCCCTGTCTTCTACTGTTTTTCATTTCTTTTTTTATTGAAATATTTTTAAGTCTACATTTTTTTAGGAATGCTAGTTTTGAGATCTTTTTCTTGCTAACTTCTCCTGACATAGTAGTTGTGTAACATGTAGACATGATGGCATAATAAATTCAGAGCAGTCCTCTTCATCATTGCTCTGAGGTGTGTGTGAGGATGTGTGCATGAGGTTGTGTTTAGATTCAGTTTCAGAACTCTTCCATTACACGATCACATAACAATATAGTGAACTATACATATAATCCCCAATATTTCTGATGCTCCCATTCTCAGCTGAGTTTCTCTATAAAGTACAGATAACAGATAATCAGAGTTGGAAGGGACCTTATAGGTCATCGAGTGACTAGTCCAAGCAGGAGACCCTACACCATTTCTGACAAATGCAATCCAATCTCTTCTTGAAAGTCTCAAGTGATGACCTCAGCTTACAACAATTTATTTAGTGATCATTCATGGTTACAACATCACTGAAAAAAGTTACTCATGACCGTTTTTCACACTTATGACCATTGCAGCATCCCCATGGTCATGTAATCAAAATTTGGGAACTGATTCATATTTATGACGGTTGCTGTGTCCCAGGAAAATGTGGTCACTTTCTCACAAGCAAAGTCAATTTGGAAGCCAGATTCAATTAACCACTGTGTGACTAACTTAACAAACTGCAGTTATGCACTTTACAGCTGTGACAAGAAAGGTAATAAAATGGGGCAAAAAAATCACTGTCTCATTTACCAACAAAAATGTGGGGCTCCACTGTGGTCATAAGTCAAGGACTACCTGTACTGTTATAAACTTTGGATCTTCTTGTTCATTTCTCCATTTTTTGAATGAGAAAATCAACAGCAGCACAAGTTAGGAATTTCCTGGAAGAATCATACTAAGCTGAATGTGCCTTCCACCAAATTTTGGGGGTAATTAAGTTCCCATCCCTACTACTCCATGTTCCTTTGAAAGATCTGTAGTCTGCTTCTGGGAGCCACCACCCACAGTTACTCATTGGCTGTGGAGACAATAATACTGAACAATATCAGTAGTCCTCCACTTATCTTATCTCTTTTCTTGTTCCTTAAATTATTTATGTACCATGCTAGATAAAATTGCCTGACTTGGTAAGTATTACAGAATGTTCTTGCGAATATTTGCACACAGTGCTAAGACGTAGCTTGACTCGGGTGTGGTACAATGAGGATCCAGACATTATAGCATGGAATTATGCAAAAACCAGGATGCCATGGCTTGTTTAACAAACCATGATTCATAAAATAAATGACATGTGCATGGAGCCAATGAGGGGAAAGAGGGCATGCATCAGAAAATGAATCTATGTGCTGATTATAGTCAGTGTCTATTGTAAAACTGTTTCATGGTTTTCCTAGGAAAGGCTATCGGACAGATGCCACTGTCTCTGTTTTCCTTGGTTTTCTTCTCTTTTTGATTCCAGCAAAGAAGCCATGCTTTGGAAAAAAGACGAAAGGTATGAAGGCTTATATATGGAGCAACATTTGACGTTATTTTATTTCAGTTGGTATCAGTATCCAAAACTGAGTTCACATATTCACATCACAATTGTTGGTCACAATTATACTGTTACTTCCCAGATTGTCTCCTTGGGGTGAATGTTTAGCTGGACAACAGATCAAATTATGATTTGCCATAGGCTAGGAATTACAGATATTCTAACTGATCTTAGCTTGTGAATGCCAAAGGCAAAAAGCAGGATAAGGAAACTGCAGCTTTCAGATAGCTATTTTAATTGTGACCTGCTGCTCTATGACTTGAACTGAAAAATAAATAAATTGAACTGAATTGCCAGGTCAGCACCCCAAACATAGGATAGGGTAGAGTAGGGTATGGTGGGGTGGGGTGGGGTGGGGTAGAATGGAGTGGAAGAGAAGAGAAGAGAAGAGAAGAGAAGAGAAGAGAAGAGAAGAGAAGAGAAGAGAAGAGAAGGGAAGGGAAGAGAAGAGTTGGAAGGGACCTGGGAGGTTCTGCAACAGAAACCTCTTCTTTTTTCCTATGTATTACTTTAGACTAGATTTTCTTAACCTGATAGCTTCCAGTTGCATTGGTTTTATTCATCTAATATGTACAATAGGCGTCAGATTTTACCTTAGAAATTGCTGCTTTCCAGATTCTGCTGAAAAAGTATTTCTTTGTAGACATTTCTAGACTGTGCAGTTCCTAACTGCAAAAGATTTTGAAACAAAGCAAGTGTATTTTATTTTGTCATAGGTCATGTTAGTAAGTCTACGGATGTTAACTCCGGAGAGTCCATAATTACCTGGAAGGACTTTGAGAAAACAATGCCATGGGAGATAGTAGTTCTGGTTGGAGGAGGTTATGCTTTAGCAGCTGGATGCAAGGTAAGATAATTAATCTCAGGAGATTCACCCCTGGTAACACTCCATGTCAGTGTTTCTCAAGCTTAGCAGCTTGAAGATGTGTGGACTTCAACTCCCAGAATTCCCCAGCCAACCAGAATTCTGGGAGTTGAAGTCCACACATCTTCAAGTTCCCAAGATTGAGAAACACTGCTCTGTGTGATGAAAGTGTTACACTGCTTCCAAAACTAAAATGCTGCCAGTGTGAGGGACTTTCCCCCCTTAGTAGCTTCATTCCTTGATGCATGGTCAAAGCACGTTAACAGGGTGAAAGCCCAATCCAAAAGAGGGTAGGATTGACCCACTTCTCCTTATCAATTCAATTTTTCCTTCCCATATTCTTTGCCTGGTGACTACCAGAAAATGGAATCCCTCCAGGGATCTGATACAATCACTTTCCAAGTGTTACAATATCCCAACTATTCCAAAAATGGACTTATAATTTGCTCTGAAACTGATTCTTTTAAAAGTTTGCAGTTTAATTATCACTTGGGCCAACTAGTACAGGTAGTCTTCAACTGAGTGACCATTCAAAGCTACAGCAGTACTGAAAAAAGTGACTTATGACCAGTTTTGAGCCATGGTGGCACAGTGGTTAGAGTGCAGTACTGTAGGCTACTTTTGCTGACTGCTGGCTGACTGCAATTTTGCAGTTCAAATCTCACCAGGCTCAAGGTTGACTCAACCTTCCATCCTTCCAAGGTGGGTAAAATGAGGACCCAGATTGTTGGGGGCAATATGCTGACTCTGTAAACCACCTAGAGAGGGCTGTAAAGCACTATAAAGCGGTATATAAGTCTAAGTGCTAAGTTTTCACATGATCACTGCAGCATCCCCATGGTCATATGATCAAAATTTAGGTGCTTGGCAACTGGTTTATATTTATGATGGTTGCAATGTCCTGGCATCATGTGATTGCCTTTTGTGAACCTCTGATAAACAAAGTCAATGGGGAAGCCAGATTCACTTAACAACCATGTAACTAGCTCAACAAGTGCAGTGATTCACTTAATGACTATGGCAAGAAAGGTTTTAAAATGAGGCAAAATTCACCTAACAACTGTCTCACTTAGCAACAAACATTTTGGAAGTCAATTATAGTTGTACGTTGCAGACTATCTTTGGAACTGGAGGAATTAAAATAACTGCATTGTTAACATTTATCCTTACCACTAACTAATCTGTCACCAGATCTCCACTCTCCAATGATAAACATAGTTTTGAGAAATATGCAATAGAGACAGAATTCATCTCTTTTATTTGAAAAGATGCTTGTGATCCTGAAATGCCAGGGAGCACTAGACTGTAGCATGTTCTTTGTCTTTAGGTAAGTTTGGACTGTGGGGAAAGCTATGTTTTTATGTTTTCTAGTAAGAAATGGTGCTACCATTTCCTATTAAGCAGAATTCTTCCCAGTCACTAGTGAATCCTTCTTTCCTGTGATTGCTTACTTCATCTCCTTTCTCAATTGCTTCTCTTTAGCAATAGCAAAAGCACTTAGACTTACATACCTCTTCATAGTGCTTTACAGCACTCTCTAAGTGGTTTACAAAGTTGGCATATTGTCCCTAACAAAACTGGGTCCTCATTTTACTGTCCTCATTTTATCAGAAGGATGGAAGGCTGAGTTAACCTTAATCCAGTCAGGATTGAACTCCTGGCTGTGGGCAAAGTTAGCCTGCAACACTGCATTCTAACCACTGCACCATAATAGGTCTTTAGAAGAAGGATAAAGCAGACAGAGACATGGTTGATTCACTTCTTCATAAAATCTTTCCCAGACTTCTTTTTAGTAGAATCTCAAGGGAAGACAATAAATGAGAGTAGATGCTGAGGCAAGCCAAGGAGAATTCACACATTGCACAAACAACCTAACTGCCAGTATGTGGAAGTGTTAAAACTAGAGGTGGTATTCAGCAGATTCTGACCAGTTCTGGAGAACCAGTAACGGAAATTTTGAGTGGTTCGGAGAACTGGCAAATACCACCTCTGACTGCAGATTTTACAGTATCCTTCCCCTGCTATGCCCACCAAGCCACACCCACAGAACCAGTAGTAAAAAAAATTGAATCCCACCACTATTAAAACCACTTTTTTATTCCTTCAGAACTGGGGGTTAATGCTTGGAGCAACTACTGCAAGAACTACAATCTGTTTGTTTTTCCTGCCTATCTTTTCTTTGCCCCTCAGACCTCTGGACTTTCGACATGGATTGGGAGGCAAATGTTGTCCCTGAGTAGCCTTCCATCCTGGGCAGTCAGTCTGCTGGCCTGCCTGCTGGTGTCCATGGTAACGGAGTTTGTTAGCAATCCTGCAACCATAACAATCTTCCTTCCAATTCTATGTGCTATGGTGAGTACAGTTTTGGATTTATTAAAAGAAGGTTAGGCAATCCTTTAAGATAAGGATCACATTTAGAGCGGGAGAGGGCAGTTTTCCTTTTTACATGGACTAGTCACAAAATAGGGATGCAGTGGCTCAGTAGCTAAGACACTGAGCTTGTCAGTCAGAAAGGTTGGCAGTTCAGCGGTTCGAATCTCTAGCACCACGTAATGGAGTGAGCTCTCATTCCTTGTCCCAGCTTCTGCTAACTTCAAAAGCATGTAAAAATGCAAGTAGAAAAATAGGGGTCACTTTGGTGGGAAGGTAACAGCGTTCCATGCACCTTTGGCATTTAGTCATGCTGGGCACATGACCATGGAGATGTCTTTGGACAGCGCTGGCTCTTCGGCTTTGTAACAGAGATGAGCACTGCCCCCTAGAACCAGAAAATGACTAGCACATATATGCGAGGGGAACCTTTACCTTTACCTTTTAGTCACAAAATACACAGACATCAGAAAGTAAACAGACAAGGTTATTCCTACTACCCCTCCTACCTTCCCAGAATAACCTATATTACCCAGCTTACCTTGGTTACCAATAAAGGAGGATATTTGTAGCTCAGAGTTGAAATGAAAGGTCCTTGGTGCTCTCTGAGCTTGGTTGCTAGTTAGCTAGCTAGTTAGTTAGTTAGTTAGTTAGTTCTTAAAATTTATATAGCTGCCAGCTTGTTCACAGCAAATCTTGTTGACTTACAGATAATAAAAACACAATATAGAAAAAATAAAAATAATAAAAAGTAAAAAAATAATAAAATAATATCCTCCACCCCCACCTTCTCGGAGACAACATACATTCAAATCAACCATTTAATGGGTTCCATCCCACTCTGGGTTCCTCAGGGAAAACCATATTTTCAGGGCTTTACAAAAACATATCATAGCGGGGGTCAGTCTAATTTCTAAAGGAATAAAGTTCCAAAGGAAGGCAGACACAATGGAGAAGGACCTTGATATCTATATACAATTCAGAAGAGACAATCAAGCTCAAATGGAAACAAAAAGACGAAAACATCTCTTCACCAGCAATCAACACCTAGATGAGCATAGATTAACTCCAAGATTAACATCAGACCAATTATCGAGTACACAATATTGCAATCAAGAAATTGCCAAACAAGCTAACCATAAACAGCCCAACTCAAGAACCATCGAAACCATTCTCGCCAACACTGACAGGGCAATCCACTAGAATATAAAATGAGAGACACCCCACTCCCTATTAGCACTGATGATGTTATCTAGTTTGAGTAATGAAATATCTTGCAAGAAAACAACCAAGTTTAGAGAGCATCAAGGATCCCTCATTACCTTAGCCAGTTTTTTTGAGTAAGGACATATCCACACAAAGCAGTGAACTGGAGATTCTCACCCTTTTCATTTTTGGAAGAATCTGGTGGAATCTTTGCAAGAACCAATTATTGTTGCTGTACTTGAAAGGCAATGAGTCACTTTCTTATGTAATGCTTAATAAAAAGCTTTAAAAAAGAAAAATAAAGTCAGCTGGGATAGGAAGTCCAAATGCCACCAAAAGAGGAGAAAAATGATGACACAATCCTGTTGCTATCACCTCATCAATGCTGTAATTTATATACTTGCATCAAACCTTGGAACACAAACACGTAATGGGGACATTTGTGTGATGGCATCTCTGTGTAGTCATTGTCAGTTTAGCAGCGTTGCAGTTTGCTAGAGATAATGCTACAACTATGTTGTCTATGACTTATTGAGGTAGAAAATCTAGGTAGAGGGACAAGACTATAGCCAATCTTGGATGCTAAAATACATGACCATTGGTTGTAGTATATTTTCTACATGAAGTATCATTTGAATACATGTGGATTTCAGTTTTATCAGCACCACTTCAGTATATTTCTCCAATGGCTTGCATTCTATTCTATGGTTGAAACAAAATGTGAATGAATCAAGATAACCTGTAATCTGTAGTAGTCTAATATTAGTAGTCTAATATTAAGCCATGACCCTAGATCTAATAATATTGTTTCTCCAGTTTTGTTATGCATATCACCAAAAGAATTACTCTTTCTCATTCTCTTTGTAGTCCGAAAGCCTCCAAATCAACCCACTGTACACCCTGATCCCTGTCACCATGTGCATCTCTTTTGCGGTAATGATACCAGTGGGCAACCCTCCAAATGCCATTGTCTTCACTTATGGGCACTGTAAAATCAAAGATATGGTATGTACAAATTATATTTAGGATAGTTTGAAATTATGGGTTTCACTACCACTATTATTACTACTACCATCCCCAACTCGCAAAGAATGGTGTCAAAAATGCTACAAAGGCAAAAACAGTTGAGGAAAAGTCTTGATTAGAATTAAGGAAATCTCAGACAGAAAATATAGATTACTGTTTATCAACCTTGACAACCTTAAAACTTTATGTGTTCATCCATCTTAAAAATGCCAAGGTTGAGAAAAACTGACATGGATAGATCAGAGATAGAGCTAGGGTCATTTCAACCTAGTTAGTGCCTTGTTGGTTGTAGTTTGGCAAAGTGAACAAGGACACATCTGGAAATAGAAGGAAATGATTTAACCCAATTAAGTAGCTGATCTAAATGCTCTCTGGATTTGGTCTATGAAAAAAATTCCAGAAGCTATCCAGACTTGGTGTGCTTGAACTATAAACCCTTATTCAAATTGATACTCATTATTGTGATTTTTCTTTTTATTTGTAGATCAAAGCTGGCTTTGGTGTCAATATCATTGGACTAGTGATTGTTACATTGGCCATAAATACTTGGGGAATTAAACTCTTCCAACTGGACATATTTCCTGATTGGGCCCAAGTCAGTAATAACATTACTGTCCCATCATAGACAACATTGGCAAAATTTGCCAAATCCCAGAAAGTAGACACACATTATTGTACAAATCTTCATTAAACAAGGAGGTTTAACTATATATATTATACCAGGAATGGGAATAAAATAAGATGTAACTTAATTGAAGTTCTCCCAAATATTACATCTACCATTTAGCATTTTTATTTTCAACTGTTAAATGAACACTGAAACATGTTTTTCCCCCATTTCCATTTGATGGGATGTATGTAACTCATGATACTCTAGTGTAAAATTGAAGATTAAGGGTTAACTCTGTAAATGTTTGTGTAGAAAACTGTATATAACAGCTACTTTATAAGGTTTCTTATAAAGGATCTTTAACATTATTTTGATGGTCTCGGTGGAAATGTGGGCTCTATTCATATTCGTAGCATAAAGCCATCCTATACATACTGTCTCTTGGGATCTCTACACTTTTCTTTTTAAATGTTTAAATTGGATGTTCTACTGTTCAGTAAATGCTGCCTTGCTCATGTTGCTTTTCTACTGTTCCCTCTCCATCTCTCTCCTTTATTTATTTTCTTTTGCTAATTCTGTTTAGAAAAGCCAGTTTGGTGTAGTGGTTAAGATATCAGGATAGTAACCAGGAGACTGGGGGTTTTAGCCCTACCTTACATACAAAGCCAACTGGGTGCCTTAGGCTGTTTATTCCTGCTGAGCCTTAGGAAACAAACAATGTTGCTTCCAAACCATTTCCAAAATCTGGCCAAGAAAATTGCTTCAACACAATTGCCAGTAATCAAGACTGACTTGAAAGCACAAGAAAAGTGTTCAACATAATATCCTACTTGAAGAAACCCCCACAAAAACTGCTGGGTAGATGTCTTTTCTGTTTGATCAGGGGTGTCAAACTTGATTTCATTGAGGGCCACATCAGGGTTATATTTGACCTTGGGGGGCTGGTGTGTGTGTGTGTGTGGACAGGTGTGTGGCCATGGTGGGTGTGGCCAGCTTGTCGTCACTCATTGAGGCTCCGTTTCTGGCTGTGATGGCCTCCTACAACCCTCTGTCAGTGAAAACTGAGCCCAGGGAGGCCTTATGGCCTCCCTGAGCTCCATTTTTGCTGGCAGAGGGCAGCAGGAGACCGTCATGGCTGAAAATGGAGCCCAGCCTTCCCGTGCTCTGTTTTCACTGGCAGATGCACCGTGGGCCAGTCATTCACTGTTTCCAGAGCAGCCCCACAGGCCAGATCTAAGCACACCATGGGCCGAATCCAGCCTGCAGGCCTTGAGTTTGACACCGTGTTTGTTAATGAGTTTTTGTATTGCACTATTATCATTATCAAACACAACTAAACATTTCATAAAATAGACTAACTCATTTTAATGATTTGTTTTCTCTTACTGAAAAAAATTGCCTGGTTTCTAATTTAATCCCTATACAGAGGTCTTCCTGAATTTCTTTTGCAATGATAAACCTGCTTTCGAAATGCAATTTGGTGTGTGTGTGGGGGGGAATAGGAATCTTTCCTGTGCTGAAATATGCCGCTGATAAGTGTAAGAAGGATTTTAAAGCATCTGCATTTCTGGTTAGCTGCAAATACAAGCACTTAAGCTCCTTAGTCCTTATTTAGCTCTGAGAAACAGCTTGAAGAGAAGGAGGCATTGTTAGGACTGGCCTCAGCTAAGAATCTATGAATAACTTTCAGAGAACTCCTAATAAATGCAGATGTCCTGCAGTTTATTCTACCTACAGTTTAGCATAAGAACAAGGGAAACTGTTGTGCAGAAAATTACTCTCCAAAGCACCAGAGGGCAGGACAAGAAACAATGGTTGAAAACTAACCAAAGAGAGAAGCAACCTGGAATTAAGGAGAAATTTCCTACCAGTGAGGACAATTAACCAGTGGAACAGCTTGCCTCCAGAAATCATGGATGCTCCATCACTGGATGTTTTTAAGAAGATTCTAGACAGTCACTTATCTGAAATAATAGCGGTTCTCCTGCTTGAGCAGGGGGCTAGACTAGAAGACCTCCAAGGTACCTTCCAGCTCATTCATTCTACATCTAAATGATGTCCCAATGAAGAAACTTTTCAGGGTAACAAGGCTTAAGGAAGATTGTGGTTGCCTCACGGAAACATTTTTGCTGGAAGCATTGCTTTTACTTGCTGGAATTGCAGACTATGGACAAGATTCACAAAAATATGCCAGTGTGACTTTGCTGAGTTCCGGAAGGATCAGGCATGTTCCCCTTAAAACATCTTGTGACAGGACAGCTCAAATTCCTACAAATTTATTCTGCACTAAGTGCCTTTACAATAGACTTATTTTCATAATGCTTCTGTATTCTTATCCTATTACAGATGATACATAACCTGTAATAATTATATCCTGATTGCCTTTGGTATGTTTTTTTTCCACTAAGAAAAAGTAATAACCATCTTTTGTTCCCATTGCAAATGTTTCTGTTGCAGAAATTGCTTGGTAATAAAGTCTAGAAACTGTTCATATTCTTGTGGTGTGTAGAAATTGTAGTGTGGATGTCCAAACACATTTTCCCCTTTCTCTTTTTTGTCTGCTTGTTTTTTAAGGTAAGCACACTCTTCCTACAAGGAACAGAATGGCAAAAGGCTTTTTCTCTAGGGATATGAGGGTGACCTGGTTACAACATCTGTCTGCCCCTTTGACTGATATGTTTAATTTCACTGGCTAAGCAAATGTCCTCTTATACTTCTAGGTGTTTCCACCAGAAGAGGGGCAATTTCCATATAAGTGGCAAAAACTATCTATAAACAAATGCTCTGCTTTTATTTTGAACTATAAATGTACAAAACCCCTGTGAGAAACCTTTGTCTGGATCAAAACATCCATTTTGCCCTTAAAAATAAATTTCCTCTCACCATGAAAAAAAGAAAAGGATATGATTTTTCATCCCTTTCTCTCTAGTGATGTTGCCTTGTCATCAGACAATTCCCCTGCAACCTTCAAGGGTGAAATCTGTAACTATGAAAAGTGTCCTACCCCACAAAGTTGATTGCTAACTGTGCTTTTCTAACAGAACCTTCAGTGTGGACTTCAGTGGTTTCTGCTGAACAATAGCTATTACTTATTAATTAAATTTATATCAGTCTCTTCCATGTATAGAGCTGAGGGGCTCACTGAAACAGACAAAAGTGTATTTGACTCTTTACTACAGTAGCACCTGAGCTAGTATCTGTAATTGCTTCTCACTCAACTCCAACAACATGACCATCTGCTATAATGTTTGGAATATTGGCCAAATGTTGGCAAGATACAAATTCAGATCTCCATCAGCCATGCATTTCTTTAGCTGAATTGTGCAAGCCCCTAGTTTTCAAAATCATTTCTTGTAAGCATTTGGTTATTTGAAAGAAAAGGAGGAACAGACAAGAAATAAATCTGCATCACACATAATAGGGCATGGTTAGATATAACATAGGATCAATTCTTCAACCACTCTCTCTCCAATGACAACAGGTACAAGTAAATTTGTCAAACTTTGCCCATCCTTACACCCTGGTTATGTATTTGATTTTCTTGATATAAGAAAGAACTTGAAAAAAACCATGAGCAAATTACTCCTATCAAATCTAATTTATGAATTGATCTAAAGTATATGTGTGTTGTTGGGCTGTAGAGTTTCCACAACATTCTCTAACATGAAAAGGCTGTTCATTCTCTAATAATAAAAAATTAAAAGAAATAAAATGTTAACCTTACTGAAGACCTGAATGTAGGCAAAGAATATCACTAATGTCTTAACTGCAAACTTATATCCTATTTAGAATGCCCTTGACTATAGATAAAAATAGGTCAGGACTGAGAAAAATAATATTACTGGTAACGTTATTATCGCCTGTCCTTTATCCCCAAATGAGAACTAATCAGAGTAACAATAGTTAAACGACAGCAGCAAAAGAACTTCCCTGCTAAACCGAGTGATATGGAAGCCAGTGGTGTATTATTTTCAACACAGGTATTCAATATAGACTTGGTTGGTCCTTTATTATGTCCATCATAAATTGAAATAGTAAATAAATGATGCATGGCCGCAGCCAATTTAACAAAATACAATTAAGCAGAACATCATTCAGTATATTGTATAAACCCAGCCATAATACACAGCAAGAGTTGTATTATTATCATAATACCTGGAAATAATAGAGAAGAAAAAAATTAATACCTTATGATTATTAAAAAGAGTGATTAGAAATAAGTTTCATAATGGAAACAATTTGCAAATAAAAAAGAAACAAAACTTTCTTGCATAATTAGGACACTTAATTTGAATAGTACCAGTTTAAATTTCCCAAATTAAAATTTGGTACATAAGTCCAGCAAATGCCAATATTTAACTCTTATAAGGATTTCTTTTGCTATTAAAAGGACTATCAATACATGCTATGGTATTTGATTGTTTTAAGGGCCTATGTATATAAAATTATGTTGATGTGATCAACTGACGTTCAACACCTTTGATACATGAATAGCTACTCTGACCTTTCTCCAGTGAGAATTCTGTTTTTCTAAGGACATAGCAGTAATTTTAATATCAATCCATGTTATTTGTTGCCTTCTGTTTCTACCTTCCCTCAACATTCCTAAACATACTTTTCTTGTATCACATGCCCCAAATATGAGTTTTCTAGTTCCAGACAATCACATCAAATGAACTATACATCTGCATATGGTCTCCAGAATAACTGAATCCTTAATTCTTACCTTCAAATTCATAATTCAAAAGACACAAATATTATGGTTTAAGAGGTAACCATTACTCTAAGTTGAATTCCTTTATTCCACAAACTCCACATATATTTATGTAGTTTGCATATGCTTATTCCTGGATAGACAGGTAGATACCCAGATGGATATAAAATATGCACCATGATTACTTCCCTGTATAAGACAAGGACTTCTGTTTATTTACTCAACCTCACCTGCTAGGTGGGGAATTCTGGGAGTTGAAATCCACATATTTAAAAGTTGCTGAGGTTAAAAAAACACTGATCTACTTCATCTTTTCTTATAATATAATGTGTACAATTCACAAAGTATACTGATAGGTAACACACTAATTTATTAAAATATTTCATGTTATTCTAAAACTCTTAGTATTCAAGACAGTTGTATCTCTTCCATAAGTTGCACAGGAAAACTGTCCTAGAAATTGTGTTGGCTAAGTGGGATTGAAAGAATGTAATTCAAAGAAAAACTGGCAACTCTCAGTGGAAGTGAATAACCAGATTTTATTTTGTACCATCATGTGTACTGTTTGAACTTTCATATTTTGCAGACATGAGAAAGAATTTTGTAATTCTTCAAAATCCTATTTGTAAATTTCAGAAGATGGCCAGAATTATAAAGCTGAACTCTGCAGACCATAACATAAGCCAACAGTTCCACTGATTTAATGTAACAAATATGCAATCTAGAGAAACATTTCATGCTATTTCATGTAAAATTAGCATTGATCTCTCAAAGTCCTCCTTTCTGAAAATTTGCATCAATTGGGACAACAGTCCACTTTCCCCTCTACCCATATAGACAAGCTTCTGAAAGAGAGAAAGAAAAAAATTCTGATAAAATTAGATTGGGTGTGAAATCAAGCAATTTTACCCAAATACTTTGTATTCTGTAGAAAAGGCAATTGATAATGATGCCCTAACACTGCATCTATATGTGATGGTATGATGATAATACAAAGAAAAGTTTGATATGATGAATATAATTCCACATAGAGAACTAAAAGTCAAGTCAAGGGGGAAAGGTTTGCAGTGATATCACTTTTTAAAATCTGAACTTTCTCACAATACTTTAGTATTTATTTGTTACAACTCACACATTTTTGAATGCACATAGTAATCCATAAAGCCATAGTCAACATAGTACAGGAGCATCGTTATAACCCCACGCCTATGGTTACCAAAACTTGCTGTTTAACAAACAAAAATAATAATAAATTCAAGTACTTTTCGTGTAAAATATATAAGTAATCCACTTAGCATATGACATAAAACTAGAATTCTAGGTTCTACGTTTATCTGGCCACAAGCATATTATCTAGTCCATTATTAAACCTTAGAAAGCCAAAACTTGAACTTTGATATTGTGGTAAGGAAGGGTTTCGGTAGAATAAGAGACTTGAACTTGGGATGAATACTAGCCCTTTTTCACACTGCCAATTTTTAGCATTTCCATTAACAATATTTAATAGTGATCAGTCAGAGAAGGCTACAAAAATGTTTAAAGGGAGCCTATGATAGATACGCTTATATAGACAATGGAATATGTGCAAATATTGTCCAGCATCTTCTAAATACATGCATCTTTCTTTGTTTCAAGAAAGAGCTACAACAGATACAAGACAGTAAAATTCAAGCCAGTTTGCATAGTTTTATCATCATCAGAATACAAGTGCAGACTCCATCAATTCCTAGTTATATCAAAATGGTAAATCCTTAAAAACATTACAAACAAAAATACCAACTAAGAATCGGAAGAGTACACGTTTGTTGATACATTGCAACAATTCAATTAAGTTGTTCAATTTTAATTTTTTTTTACAATTTTTACAAACAATGGATGAAGCATATTGGCTATCATATCACTATGAACTGCTCAACATTTTGACATTCAATTTACTGATTATATGCAGACTATACATGTTGCAGGAATGCCCAAAAATAGAATAGAAAGGTCATATTTCAGCAACAAGATAGGCATTTTTATCAGACAGATTTGGTATCTTACAGATAGATGCCAATATTTGTAGAGTTAGATTTTTTTTCTATATTGGAATAATTAATGGCATATCTTCATTCTGTTCCTGACTCTTGTTATTACTAAATATAGAGTATTACTGAAGCAATAAAAAGAGAACAAAAGTCCAGTTTGTGTGTGTGTGTGTGTGTGTGTGTGTGTGTGTGTGTGTGTGTGTGTGTGTGGGATATTGCAAGGAGGCCACGTGGATATAGTAACACTAAGCCTTCTGAAATCAGGCCTGACAGCATTCATTAAAGCCAATAAAGTCTTGACACCTGGATGCTTAAAGTAGACCATCTACGTTGAATAGTAGGATGCCTAAATCAGCATCATTTATCATTTGGAGGCTTCTTCTTAGCTTCAACGTCTTTCTTGATGTCTTCAATCTTCTTTGCAATGTTTGGAACCTATAAACATATAAAGAACCATTGCAGTTTACAGAGTCAATTCAAAGTAATCTCTGGGTCCATGATATGATGTACTGTATTTTGTATAATTCCTTGTGTATCTGTATTTATATTCAACGTGTTCATAAACATTTTGTACAGTTGTATATGTTCATATATGTGCAGTCACACTTATCTTTGTGTCTTGTGTACATACATTTTGTTGTGTTTTCCATTGACACATTCATAGATGCATATTTTCATACATATATTTATATTTTACTGGTGTCTTGCACTCTAGTTGGATGCTAACTGTATTTCATTGCCTGTATCCATGGCAATAACAATAAAGTTGAATCTAATCTAATCTAATCTAATCTAATCTAATCTAATCTAATCTAATCTAATCTAATGTACAGGAATGAATTTTCTCCTATTCTCTAGTCTGCACTATACTCTAGTGCTGTGATGGCGAACCTATGGCACACGTGCCAGAAGTGGCATGCAAAGCCATTTCTGTTGGCACGTGAGCTGTTGCCCCAGAGCAGGTCCACTGCGTGGGCGTGAACACCACCCGCCCAGCAGCTGATCATCGGGTAGCTACCCTGATGTGCCGGGGGGCACAGTTGAATGCAGGAAATGTAGGTGCATGCACAGATATGTGCAGCACACATGGGAGGTTGTGCGTGCATGCGCAGGTGTGGGGACCTCCACGTGCATTGCCTTATGGATGCTGGCACACATATGCACGCACACTTTTGGCACACAAGGACAGAAAGATTAGCCATCACTGCTCTAGTGTCTTTGCAAGACTGACAACAAATTGATTTATTCCTGTGCTGTATTTCGAGTTTGGCTGTTGGAATTAGTAGCAGTAGAACAATAAGCGAACTTTGGTGCCTTCTTGGACAAACACTCAAGAAAAAAAATAACATTCTGAAACTTGTAATGCAGGTTTCAATGGAAAAGTGTCAAAATATACCACAAATATTTCATGCAAATAAGTAAGAGGAGGTTAATGTAGAAACAGAATGAAATGAAGGTATGGATGAAGGAAAGGAAAGCTGATCTGGACTCTATTACACAAATCTAAAGCTCCTGGATTATGGTTCCATAGGAAAATAGGAAATCAATAGCCTTTCAGATATTGCAAATCAACAAGTCCCATCATCTTTGATACTTTTGACCGCTGCATTCTAGAAAAAAAAATGGGAACTGGAGTTCAGAATCATCTGGTGTTTGACAGGCTCTGCAATGCTCACAAATTCCAAGTTTTAACATAATTTCAAAAGCAGCAAAAATACTTACATCATAGTTCTGGGCCAAATACATTCCAACTACATTGCCAACTGCAAAACCGAGCTGGAGAAAGAACGAAAAGGATAACATTGAGGATTTTACTTCTCTCTCTCACCACACATGAAATGTAATTTAGAAATGCAATTAGTTTTCCATTCTATCTTTTAAAACAAATGTTTTGCCAATTTCAGGCCAAAACCTGATTTTCATTAAAGTGTTTATCATGTTCTTAGCTAATGTTTTTGCCAAACGGTTTCCACCATGTGGCTGAATTCCCATGTAAACTACATACAAATAATTCTATTCACCATTTGCAATTTTAAACACTGGAATTGTGCAAACAAACCAACAGCCAGGCCAGGATTTGGGAAGGCCTTAGACAACATATTCCTAGTACAGGTATGAGAGAAAGAGACAGGATAGGGATGCTTCCTTTTTCACTGGCATAATTGCCACTTATTTAATTGCCAGCATTTTCTCATGGCTGTTTCTACTTCTCAAGTGTGAGATAATAAAGATGATAAACCATTGAGGGATGTGGCAAGTGGGTAACTTTTTTGTGGCTAGAACATGCACTTCCTTCAAAATATCATTCCCCAAACTTTGAGGCTTGGCGGCCTGGCTGGGAGGGGAAAAGATGGGAATTGGGCCACACAAGTGCTGGGGCAGTACACATGAGCCTGTACACGTATGTGTGCCAGCCCGCTGCTCGCACAAGTTGAGCAGCACATGCCCATCAGGCCGCCTCTCGCGCAGCCCAGTTCCAAATAGATCATGGCCCAGTAGTGGGTTGGGGACCCCTGCTTTAAAAGAAGAAACCTCTCAGAACCACAGCAGGAATATTAATGGCCCAATGGGAGGGGGGAGAAAGTCTGTAAGATTTTAAAAGGGCAAAAAAAAAACTATACTGCAAAGGCAATATACCTGTTTTGAACCTTGATCCTGCCAAAATACTTCTATGTGGAAGGAAGCATGCGGTTGGATAACTCAAGGTTTTGTCTTGGGCCCAATGCTTTTCAACCTCTTCATAAATGACCTAGATGAAGGGACTGAAGTGGCATTCATCAAATTTGCAGATGACACCAAACTGTAAGAGAGGCTCAAGAGTCAGAAGGTTCTTCACAGACTTGAGCATTGGGCCCTATCCAAAAGATGCAGTTCAGTGGTAAGAAAAGTAAGATCTGCACGGAGGCAGGAGAAACCAAATGCACAGGTACAGAATAGGTGGTACCTGGCTCAACAGTAGTATCTATGAGAGGGTACTAAGTGTCCTGGTGGGCCATCTCAGGAGATTGGACTAGAAGATCTCCATGGTCCTTTCCAGCTCTATGATTCCATGATTCTGTATTAAAAAATCATGCCGTAGCATGATCAAGGGGGCATTAGAGATTAATTGCTTCCAAAGTATACACATTCCCTTTTATATTAATGCATACTGGGACATTTTAATTAGAGTAGCATATAAACCCCTAGCAAATTAATACACAGGTAACTAAATCCTTAGATGAAAAACATAATCCCAAGAACTGTGTCAAAAGAAACAGAGCAGGAGTTTCTCTAAGGACCTTCGTGGGCATTTCAAAGATGCCTCCATGGAAAGCCAAATGGGAGAGTAGTCAGACTAACAGTTCAAATGTTGATGAATGACCATCCATACTAAACTCTGAATCACATAAAATGTTTTGCTTAACATAGCTTCATAGTGTAGTCCAGTACTGCTGTCAATTTGTGATGGCTTACTCCTGCGCATACAGATTTATCCAATTTTATTCATCTATTTTCCAAAAACAAGAGTTTTGGACTAATTTAGATGTGCACTTCTTAAATGGTTTCCATCTGGGTAATGAAGTCTTCAAATCTCATAACACTGAAAGAGTAGTGAAACATTAATATAACATTCCAATGCCTGGAGGTTAATTGCTTTTAGCACTTGAAAATCTCAGCTTCAGCCATGAATGAACTGCAGGTTTTACTGACAACCAAGAATAGAAAGAGCTATTAAAAATATAGGCATTAAAGCTATCATTGTTTTCAAAAGTCTGCCATTGTATGCCATCCTCATTTCCTGTACAATATAGTAGATTTGGTGCTTTAAAAAAGTGAAAAAAAATCCATTTAAAATACAATGTGATGCACATTGTAAAGTACAATGTGATATTAATGCAGTAAGCCTAAATTTTTATTCTTATTTTTATTCTTCATTTAATTTAGCCTTCCCCAACAATATGCCCTCTAGACATGTTGGACTACAATTCCCATGGCTCTAGCTGGTTCCAGCCAGGTTGAGGAAAGCTGCTTTGAAGCCTATGTTTGTTTTACTTTCTTGGAAATGGGAAAGATTTAGAAATCACAATTTTCTCCCCAAGTGCCCAAAGTCCAGTCCAATTTGCCTAGCTGTGTGCTTGCTATGACAGTAAAATCTTGATCTAACCAATTCCATTTTGACAGACCTCAGCAACGGACAAATTTTTTTCATCTAGACATCTCCTTGAAATAATAACAAAGCTCACTGAATTAATTTGGGCAAGATAGATACATTTATGGTAATCTTACCATAATTTTACAACATCTGTTACAATTTGTATTTTGCATCTGTATGACTCCCCAAGGATCACTTCTCATAAATTGTTCAAAGTACCTTTGAACATTATAATCTATGAAGCAAAATAACTGGGCTCAAGGTCACCCACATAATATAGAAAACTACCTATGGGGCATATAACAAGATATCTAAATATAAGAAGCTATACAAAAGATATAGAGGGCACGAAAGCTTGCTAGGTTGGAGGTTCCCAACCCCCAGGCTGCAGCCCACTACTGGCCATGGCACATTCGGAACTGGGACACACAAGTGGCTGGCTGGTGCATGAGTGCATGCAGCTCAACTTGCACAACTGGCAGGCCAGCACACATGCATGCAGCTCGACTTGTACGAGTGGTGGATCAGCGCGCATACATACAGCTCAACTTGCTTGTGCTGGCCGGTTCCCGTCTCCGCCCCCACCAGGCCATAAAGGTTGGGGATTGCTATGCCACTTGACAGGGCTTGGCACTCTCTCTCCCTCTCTCAACCCAACCTATCTCACAGGGTTGTTGTTGTGGGGAAAAAGGAGAAGGAAGGAGTATTATGCATGTTTACTGCCTTGAGTTACTTATTAGGATTTTAAAGGATAAAAATAAAATAATATATCTATATATACACACTCTTCTCTGATAAAGTATTACTTATTATGCTAATGAAACTAAAGTTTCCAGAACTTAAGAACACTTTATTCCCCAATCACATGTCCAAAGACTGACTATGGAACTAACATAAAATTCCACCACTGAGCAAGGATCCCAATGATGCTGTAATTCGATTCATGTGCAGATACAACCATATTGAGGAAAGCAATATGCACAAGACTGACACATGGAAATATTCATAGTAATTAGAACGTCCGAGCAGAATCTCAGGGAATCAGATAGAATCACCATCTTCTTCCAGCTGGAAAGGGGAGGCCACTATGAATAATTTATAGACTAATTAAATGAAAAACATTTTTCTGCCTTTTTTTGGACATCCAAACATGAAAACACAGAGGTTTGCAGTAGCAGCATGTTCTTTTAATTCTGAAAAAGCATGCTTGATTCTGAGACTTCTCATATTTCTCTATGAACCCCCAACCCTGACCATTCATCATTATCAGTGTCACCATGTACCATACTATTGTTTTCAGGATAGATACTGAACCATTTACTTTTCTAGAGATAAGTATTTTACTTCTCCAATAAGTCCAGTTTGTTCCTGTTACAGCAGATTTGGCCCTCTTTTTTCAGGTTGAAAGTATAAATATACACTGAAATTGTTCCATCAAGTGGTGGATGGAAAACTTGACTCCGCTGGTATTTTTTTGACATGCTTTCTGGAATTTTGAAATGGGATTAGTTTTTACACAAAAATGCAAGACAGACCTCAAAATTCCATATGAGAACAACAGGGCCTTCTATTTAATTGGCTCTGACAATGAGACACTTATTCTTATATCCATTATACTCTGAAGATGCAAGAATTTCCTTTGTCTCTGATCTGTATTCCCATTTCCTATTTATTTCTATTATTCTGCCACATGATTTCATACTCCCCCTTTCTATTAATGTATCATTAAATAGTTCAGCTTCTTTCAGCTCCTCAAAGTTTGTCCCAGTTTGGCTGGCTTCTTGGGAATGGAAAGACAAACTATTCTCAATGCTAAAATTCCAGAACTAGCTGGGAAATTTGATCACAGACAAGAGTCTGCAAAAAATTACTGATGACAACAGAATAACAGAGTTGGGAGGGACCTTGGAGGTCTTCTAGTCTAACCCTCTGCTCAAGCAGGAGACCCTATACCATTTCAGACAAATGGTTGTCAATCTCTTCTTTAAAAAAGTACAAAAATAAAATGCTCTACCCACGTGTTTTTACAACATGGGCATTTTCCAGATGTATGAAATTCAATTTTGAGAATTCTCAGTCATGACCAGACTGGCTGGGGAATTCTGGGAACTAAAATTCACATGGGGAATTGCAATGCAGTTGGCATTGTGTATTCTAATTCTAACTGTATTTTGATGTGGATTTTATGCCCAATTCATATCTTACATACATACTATTAAAAATAAATTCAGCAGAATTGTCTAGCATTTATTTCAAAAGCTAGTCTTAATTATATCATTCCCCAGGAGAATAGAGAAAAGAAACATTAGCCACAACCCTGATTAATTCCACACTTCTTAAAATAAGAATTCATATTAAAACGGCAGATTAAAAATAAAATACTACCACTACTACTACAATACTTGTTTATATCAACCTTATATGTAGATCTCAACAATTTATACAAGAATCTGATCTGATTATGATCTTTTGGAAAATGTAGTATTCATTTGTTGTATTTTCTATATTGTTAAAATATAAGCAATGATAATCACTTACTACTATAGGTAGACCCAGTCATTGTACTTTAAACAAACCATAGCTTAGCACATTAAGTTTCATAGAATCTGCATTTCGTAAAATCAAAAATCTTTAAAATGCTGCAAATATCTTTTTTTTTTTTTTTTTACAAAACATCAAGAACCACCGATTATGCAGGATGATGGTAGCAGAAGTTTTCCTGCCCAGGATTCCAAGGTATTCTAAACTTGGGCAGGAAAAACCAGATGCATGAATAAGCGGTACCTGGATTTAGCAGTAGTTTTACCAAAAAGGGTCTAAAATGAAAATAAGCCAGCAATGTGTCCGAGATGCCAAAAAAAGTCAACAAAGTTTTGGGCTGCATCCACAAAAATGGTGTTATGATTACAGAAAGTGATTATACTGCTTTGTTATAGTGGTCAAGCCACACCTAAACTACTATGTCTAGTTTGTCACCGTAATACAAGGATACTGAAGAACTGTGTAGAGTGTAGAGAAGAGCAACAAAGTAAAGAGCTTGGAGACTAAACTCTATGATGAATAGTTTAATCTAAGAGAAGAGAAGGCTGAGAGACATGACAAGAAATTTAATACATGAGGGGATGTCACAGAATAGAAAGTGCTGGTTTCTTCTCCAAGACTAAGACAAGAACCAATGGATAGAAGCTTAACAGAAAGAGACCAAAATTTGAAATAAGGATGAATTTCCTGACTGTGCTTTAAGCTATTAAGCAGTAGAAGAGCCCACTTCTTGAAACTGAAGTTGCCCCATCACTGGAGATTGCCAAGAAAAGGTTGGGAAGTTTGCATGAGGATTGCACGTTTTCTTCCAAAGTAGGAACAGAATATAGAGGTATTGAAGGTGCGGCTAGCGGGAAAGAGAAATGTTATTTTCAGGGGCAGGGATACTTACAGCCCAAGCTTACAACCTATCCTTGGACAGAAGCTCCACAGTTAAGATTCACATGGAAGTTAAGCTCAAGGAATACCATAAAGCTTATAGGATTTAAAGTCCTAAAGCACATCAATTTTCAGGAGGCTGGCTTAATAACATCCGACAAGAAGAACTAGCAACTATCTGTAGTTCTAACAGTGGGAGGCTTTATTTAAATAAATTGCCCCGACTCTCCCGAGTGTTTTTTGTTTGTTTGTTTGTTTTTGTTTTTGTTTTGCTGGACAGATCCCAAAAACAAAACAAAACAAAAACAAAAAAAACGCCTTCCTTCCTTTTGTCTTTTTAAAAAAAAGTTCCAGTCCCTGGGGCATTCCCATTCGAACGCCACCAAGGCTCGACCCTGTTTAGCTTTCCAAACCACCCAAAGTCGGCCGGGCGTCGCCACCTAAAAATTCTCTTTTTTTGCAGTGCTCCCCTCAGCCGGGCCACCCCTCCTTTTGCCAAAGTCTTACCAAAAATTGAAACATGGTTGCCAGCTGTCACTCCCTGTCCCTTCCAAGCGGAAGGGAAGATTTACAGCTTTTACTTTTTTTCTCTTCCGGATACCCGCCTTCCTTACTGCGTTCGCCTCTCGCATTGGCCGAATGGCTTGATGGGCTCCTCCCTTTTCCAATCCCTATTTCCTCCCCTTCCTTTTTTGTTGTTGTCCCGCTTCAGGTACCCTCTCTTCCAAGGGCAAAGCGCTGTTGGCTTTGGAGGGGGAAAGGGCGGCGTTATCATTGTAATTGATTTGGAAATAGCCGCCGCTCCTTCCGTGGAGCGACTGATGGAGAATTGCTCATGGTGCAAAACTGAGCAGAAAGTCGCACTCAAGGTGATTGTGTTTTATTCCCCCTGATTTCAGTGGGGAAATAAAACCGCTAAACTGTGCAAGGAACTATATTCCTACTCAGAGGAAAGCCCTGTCGAATATACCGTAGTAGGGCTGAATATCTGAGAAATGGTTATAGATTTGATTGAAATCCCGAAGATTAGTCAAATATATAGGAATAATAACAACTATAGTATAATCCTGTTTTTCTCTTTAACAGACACTACACACCATTGATCTGCCCACTAGCCTTCCCGAGTTAAATAATAACAGTGACAACAATAACAACAAAATAACAATAATAACAAAATCATCACCTGTCAATTGCAAAAGGCAGCTTTAGTTGGAAATTTACATCCTGCAAGGATATCTTTAACACCATCAAACATCCACATCTGCCTATCCCAGTTGCTTGAGGACTTAAAATGCCAAATTCAGTCCGTGATTTGAGTTGGTCCAGAACAGATACCTGAGCCTTAAAAATGTTCATGTTTTGAACAGAGCACGACATATTTAAGAGATGAACTATAAAATGAAAGAAATTTAAAGACATTGAGATTGTGAAATATGTTACACCAGTCTCGAATGTTCAGGAAAACAATGCCAATTATCTTAAGGAAATTAAAACAAGTTCAGTTATTTGTTCTGCTATATCTTTACATTTTTTCTTAATCTTAAAATTAATCTTTCTTGATGATGCATATTTGATTGCATTTTATTTCAAGGAAAGATTAAGAAAAAAATAAGAGTTTAATAATTAATTACCCTTTAATTACACAGGCTATATTATACATGTTTAATTGACCTAGCCAGTCAAGGAAAATGAGAAATAATTCTAGCGCAACAATAGAAAACACATGAATTTTGTATACTATGTAGAAATGGCATTCTACGAAATGAACACAAGATGGCACCTCACATCCACATTAGTTGATTGTTTTTCACACAGCGTTTCTTTTATTTAGTAGGGTGATAGGGATAAAGAGAAACTTAGTTTGAAAACTGCAAATCTATTAAAGAAAATACATTGAACATCTTTAAAAAAGAAAATAAAACTAAAAGTACTTTCATTTATGGTCCCAGTTCCATTTCTGGGTTTCATCATAGTTAATTTATTTAAAAAAACATTCCACAAATATCAGGCATTGCTGTTTCCAAGTTTCATTCAATGTTTTCGTCTTTATTTTTGTTGTAGTAATTCTGTAAATAGGTTCTGAAAGTGTCTTGGGAATCCAATCACTGAGTTTCTCAGTTAAATGCTAGGAAAGTGCACTGCATAATTCAAGTCTTTGTGTTCAATATAGCCACTGCATAATTCATGCAGTGCACTGCATAAAGTTGCCAATTTCTAATGTATATTAGAAATATTAGAAATATACAATGTATACTGTATCTAAAGTACATCTGAACATTTTCCTCAAGAAGTACCAAACTTCTCTTAAAACAAGTTATATGCTGATATTTTGGATAAAAGACGCTAGATGGCAGTGTTTTTCTTCTTAAACTAGTTGAAAAATTGTTAAACAACCAAAATCATCTTTGGATGCAATCCATTTGTTTAAAAAGTATATTTCTGTGTGGGGTGTAAGAATTCTAAATTAAAACAGCTATTATACGAAAAGGAATAGTTAATGAATTGCTGAAATAAAACAAGATGCAGTGTTTTTCCTGTTTATCATGGCTGCATCTCAAAATAAGCCAGGATATACATAAAAATCATATCTAGGTGAATGTGTGTGTGTGTGTGTTTGTCCGTCTGTGTGTATGCACATAATTGCCCCTACCCCATTTTTCTGTGTAAAATATTGAACACCAACCACAGATATTAGAAGGTCTGTATTATAAATTTCAACTTGCAACTGACATTTCTAACTTTCAAGCTTCCAGTAATTTCATAAAAGGCAAAATGGATACAATCAGATTTATTTTGTGCATTGGCTGCTAAAGGAAAAATATGGGTTATTTTTACCCACAGTGCTAATGCGAAAAACAAAAGAAATTGGGATTTTAGGCTTATATACTGCCCCATAGTGCTTTAGTTTAAAGCACCCTCTGAGCAGTTTGCAATATAGAAGTATTATTTGCATATTGCCTCCAAGAAACTAGGTCCTCATTTTACAGATCTCAGAAGGATGGAAGGCTGGATCAACCTTGAGCCCCATCAGGATCAAACTCCAGGCTGTGGGCAGAGTTTGTGTGCAATGCTGCCCTTTAAGCACTGAGACACCAAATGTCTCCACAAAGCACCAGGAATTTGCAACACACAGTCACAATTCCATGTAAATGCATATTAAAGGTATGCATGCTTCTAAAATGATTTGGCAGAAGTGTTTTAGAGCTCAATACAGTACAGCATTTCTTTAGTATTATTTTATAAAGCCTGAAAACATATATAGTTTTTCTGAAAATTAGATTAATTGTCTCTTTAAAGCAGCCCTATCTTTTTTGTAGGTTCATGAGAACCCCTGGGGAAAAAAGATGGCTGCATTACTTAGTGATAAAGTACACAAATGCCTTCTGAAATAATTTTTCTAAATAATTTTCAAAGCAGGCACTGCCTGAGTATATATGTATGAGCATTAAAAGTTCTATTACTCATTTTGAATACAAATGTGAAAAACTTTTCTAAGTCAAAACATTGACTCATTTGCTAATGTGTCATTCCAAGTGTGCCAGAAGAGATCCAATCTCAAAACAGACTATTCTGACATCCTGAGAACAACTTGACTTCAAAATGTTTTTCCTTCCTCTAGATTCAGATGTTGCTACTAGGACTTTTTGAAAGTCTTAGTAGTTTAGAACTTTACTTCAGCTTAGTTTAGGACTTCACTTTAGTACAAACTGTTGTGGAAGAAATATCTTTCTGTCTTCAGTTCTAAGTGGGGAAATAAGACTCCCAAGGGCGGAGGTCTTAGCTAACTTTGTAGGCTTTGTCTGGACCACATGGCTGAGTGCTGGCTGATGCAATCTTCCCAGGCTAAGTGGTGAGATGGGCAGAGGGCTTTGTTATGTAGAATACTCTAGCCCAGGCCTTAATGGCCCACCCATTAACAAAGGTGGGGGAGAGTTTCTACTTCCAAGGTGAGTTTTTGCTTCTGAGTTTCTGTTTCTCTTTTTAGGGAAAATATTCTGCCTTTTTAGTATATCCTAAAATATTTCATTTCTTGAGGAGAGGAGTGGTTGCTAGCTTCCAACACTAGATAACATCATCATCATCATCTGCACCAGATAAGACTAAATATGGTGTTTGAACAAAAGCAGCAACAAAAAGAGGCTTATCCTTCCATGGGTTACATCAAAAACTTGACATCCAATAAGGAAGTCAAATGAGTTAACTCATTTTTTAAAAAAAGGATGGCCTTGATACATTTGCAAGTTATCCAAGGGGTTTGAGGCAACCTTCAGGTACATCAACAAGAATCACAACACTTCTTAGTGGTTTCTTATAGGTTTCTCATGCAAATCTGTGTCAATCTCTTGTTTCAGAGATTGTTCCCCTGAAATCTTTAAATTGTAGTTAAAATGTCATTAAGAAAGACTGATGAGATCAAAGTCTGTGACAATAATTCTAGGCCAATAATGAAAACAGCATCAAGCATAATTCTAATACATATCTGCTCTCCTCTGACTGGGAAATATTAGTTGTTTTTAAAGCAGCCTGATGGGTGAAGTACTACAACATGCGGTATCTTTTAGAAAATCTGCAATGCAATGATCATACTACAGAATAAAACTTGTTTTTTTTTTAATTGAAATTTTTATTGGTTTTTAAAACAAACATAAATAAACAAAACATAAAAACATCAAGCCATCTTCCATATATATACATACAGTGTGTCAGTTGGTTTACAAATTGCTTTGTGCTTCCATTTCGTAGTCTTCAATTACAATTACACTGTATATAATCTCGTATTTTCAATCAAATATTAAATACATTAATATCATTATTAATCAATCATTTGACTATACTATTATTTATTCATATTTTACAAGATAATCCATATTTTATTTAGTTTGTTTTATGACAGTTCATATTATAATCTCAAATCTATCCTACAATCATTTTGTAGATATAATAAAAAATACATCTTTATATATTCATTATGTTCTAAAAATCTACATATTTCATTTCCATGTTTTATTGTCTCACCATTGATAGAATAGATCCCAAATTTTATAAAATTGTTTATCATCTTGTTCTCTGATTTCAAATGTCAATCTACTCATTTCAGCACATTCCAATATTTTCTTAATAATTTCCTCCTACGATGGTATTTTCTCATTTTTCCAGTTTTTGGCAAATACAATCCTAGCTGCTGTTAGTACATTTACAATAAGATATTTCAATTATTTATTGTATATTTCAGGTAAAATTCCCAATAAAACTATCTCTGGTTTCAAGTCTATATGCTTTTTTTGTCATTTTTCCAACCACGTGTGGATTTTAGCCCAATATTTTTTGGCGTCTGCACAAGTCCACCACATAGGGTAATATGAGCCAGGTACCTGATGACATTTCCAACATTTTCCAGATTTATTCTTGAACATTCTTGCTATTCTTGTTGGGGGAAAATGCCACCTGTAAAACATTTTATACAAATTTTCTTTATATGCTGTTGACAATGTCATTTTATAATTTTGAGACCACAATTTTTGCCATTTCTCTAGATCAATCCCATATCCGAAATTCTTCCCCCAAGCAATCATTGTTTCTTTAACTTGTTCTTCTTCTAATTTAATTTGTAATAGATATC